TTCAGCAGGCAGATAAGGAAGCAGGAAGAGCAGAGCAAAGGCACACACAGGAGAGAACGAGGTAAGTTCTGGGAACTTCAAGCAGCTTGGAATGACTGGAAATTTGTAAAGCAAGAGGGGAACCCCAGGAAGTGAAGTTGGCTGAGGAACTGAAGAAGCAGAAGTGTTTTGTCCTGAGCACTGTTTTTTCTTGTAAGAAAATAGCTAATATCTTCCAAGTGCTTGCCATGCAAAAGGCACCGTGCTAAATGCTTTCTAGATATTAACTCATTTAATCCCGACTCCATGAAGTAGTGGTTATGATGCCCATTTTCCAGATGAGAAAACTGAGGCAGAGAGAGCTTAAGTCGATTGTCTAGGGACACAGAGACCCAGTAGGGCTCCAGAGCCCACTCTATTGACCATCTCACTAAACAGCCTCTCCTGGACTCCATGGCCCAAGTCACCAGGCATGATGGGCCTGGCCTGTGTCTCTCTGCCCAGCTAACAGGGCCCTCTATGCTCACCCCAGATTGTGCCATGTGCCACCTGCCCACCCCCAAGAAGATGGCCAGCCCACGGACCTTCACCTTCCTCTGTGGTTTGCTGGCAGCCAATCTGGTGGGAGCCACCCTCAGCCCTCCTGCGGTTCTCAGCCTCGGCCCAGAAGTCATCAAACAAAGTAAGTCTTGGCCGCCCAACGCCTCACCGCCATAAGGCAAGGGGGCAGGTAAAGCAGCCCTCCAAAGGAGGGACAGAGTTCCCCATCACTGGGGGTATGCAGGGCATTGCTGGGATCCCAGGTCTTGGGTGAGACTTGATTGGGTGAGTTACAAAATTTGGGAGTGTCTACGATCTCAAGAGTCCATGATTCCAAGATCCCCTTCTTCTTAAATTCCACGATTCCAAAACACACTACTCTGAGGTTCCATGGCCTGCAGAAGGGGTGTGCGGCCACTGCATGCGATGATGCAACTGCCTCTCCGGCTGCCCTCACTTAAGCCCCTTTGCCAGAGGACCTCTTCTGAGTTAGACCCAGGGTGCAACTAGTCTCCGGAGCAAAGACCCTCAGCTGGCCTGGGCCACGGGCACAGCTTTATCACGCTCCAGCTCTGTGGCCCTGGTAACTCCCTGAGCCTCGGTTTCCTCCTCTGGAAGAGGGTCCGCCTCCCTAGGTTGCTGGGAAGTAACAACAACCTTCTTGTTACAGGAAGTAACAAGAGCTTAATGACCCCTACAGCCCAGCTTCTCAACCTCAGCACTGCTGACCTTGGGGGCCGAATACCTCTGTTGTGGGTGGCTGTCCTGTGCACTCTAGCTGTTCAGCAGCATCCTCGGCCCAGCTGTGACACCAAAAAATGTCTCCAGACATTGCCAAGTGTCTCCCAGGGCACATTGCCCCAGTTGAGAACCACTGCTCCAGTGTTGTCCGCTGAGAGGGAGAAAATCAGTGTGCTCTGGAGGTCCCACTGGAGCAAGCAGAGACCAATGCTCTGTATGCAGTGGGCCTGGGCTGCATCTGGATGGGCAGGGATGGGCCAGGTCCTGCAGGGCCAGACAGGCATTGTAACCAGAGGAGGGAGCCCCTAGGAAGGATGGGAAGCAGAGAGCTCTTGACACTCTTTGGGGAGGCGTATGTGCCTCGGGCCCACGCTGAATCGCAAGCATGTGGAATTTCAGCCAGAAGGAGCTTGGAGAGCAGCCATTTAGGTTCCCCAGCAGTGGAGTCTGAGTTCAGGAGCTGTGTGCAGCTGGGTTGTTCTGGAGGTGATCCCAGGAAATACCTGCAAGAGAGCGGGAAGTAAGTCAGGTAAGGGGAAGCCAGTTACCACCGGGAGCGGCAGCTCAGTCCTACTGGGCATCTGTGTTAGTCAGGGCCAGTCAGAAGGCAGAAACCACACAGTAAAGCCCAACGGATGGGTTTGTATAAAGAATTATCAGCGGGAATTGGAACACTGGGAAATTGGCTAAAAGGAAAAAAAGTGAGAACGCCAAATGAGACCTAGGGATTGGGATGCAGTAGGAAGCTCAAATCCAAGTACAGAAGAAACTTGGAGGAGAGAATCCTCCCCAGAACTCATGGGAGGAGTGTGTTGAAGCCCCTTGAATGGTGGGGAAAGTCCCTGAGCTGTCCAGGGTGAGAGCTGGTCCACGGTTGGCAGGCTGAGGCCACCTGGCAGAGAACTGCCTGCCAAGGAGCAAAATGGATTTCTTTGGGAAGCAGCCCCTGGACAAAGGGATTGCTGTTGACTCACTGGGAAGTTGTCCCTGGGTAACTGCCTGGAAGGGAGCTGGGGTGCCCCCAGCACGGGCTGCCCATAGGAGTCCACTCAACTCACAGCCTGAAGCTCTGGGAGGTGATGCCACCGGAGTCTGGCAAGAGGAGCACCAGGGCCAGGAGGGGAAGCTCCTTCCTCCCCCATGTCCCTCCAGAGCCTCTACTGACAGTGCTGAACAGTGCGCCAGCTGGCAGAGGAGGAATACTTACAGGGACCAGCTCCGTTGTCACAGGGCAGGCAAAAAGGCCCGCTTTGTCTCTGAGAGGCACCAACACACAGGGACTCTGGGACACGGTGTCCCCACGGGGGGGAGACACACCTAAGTCATCCTGCCCGAGGGTGGAGGGAGCTGGGGTATTTATACACCAATCCCCGTCAGTCATTGGCTGAGGTTTTCTTCTGGAGCATCAGCTCTCCAGCACTCTGACCTGCTCTGCACACAAGTTAAATGGGCTGCAGCTGTCAGGAAAAAAGTCCAACAGTGACCAGAACCCAGGGGTCCTGGCTCTTCCTTTCTCTACTCAGCACCTGGGGCTCTTTGGACAACAGGCCTGTAGGATGTGGATGTCAGAGAATCATTAGCAAGTGAGTTTCAGCAGCAAAACAGCCCCAAACAAGGCCTTATGAGTTCTCTGCCTCTTGGCTCCAGAGTGTTTGCCCCTGGCTAGGGAGAGAGTTGCAGGTCCATGTGCCGGGTGTCCTGGCCAACACTCCCGGCAGAGGCTGGCAATGTTCAAGGGTGTGAATGGTCCCACCCGTGCCCAGCCACAGTCTTCATGTGAAAGTGACCCATCTGGACCATCGTCCTCCAGGCCACATTTACACAGTGGAGATGATCAGAATGGAGCCATCCATAGCCTCACCTTATATCCCAGTCCACGTAGTCCTGAGTGATGTCCCCTCCCAGCCTGGAGCCCCCACCAAGCCATCCTTCTCGCCCCACCTGCTGGACCCTAATCCCTGGGATCTGTCTCCAGGGCTGACACAGAAACTGAAGGATCACGATGCTATCAACACCCTGCGGCAGCTGCCGCTGCTCAGTACCATAAAGAAGGAGTCGGCCGGGGGCATATTCAGCAGCCTGGTGAGGTCCGTCCTGAAGCATATCATCTGGTGAGTGGAGCAGAACCAAGTCGGGAGCTAGCTCTTTGCCCACACACTTGCCCGGGACACGCTTTGCATGCTCAATCAGTCGGTCAACAAGCATTGGTGGGTATCAGCTCTGTGCCTGACCATGAAGGATGGCTCAAACAAAGCCTCTCCCTCAGAGGCTCCCAGAGGAGTAACAATAACCATAAGAGAGTGACCCAGGAGCCCTAAGCAGGGTGACCTCAGAGGAAGGTCACCTGGTGTGGGAGGGTGAAGGGATAAGGCGATGCTTCTCAGTGGAGGGGACAGGTGAGCCAATGACTCCATGTTCACCAGGAGACAAGAAGAAATGGCATTCCAGGCAGAGGGACTGGCCTGAGTAAAGGCCTGGGCAGGGGGAGGTTAGGGTCAGAGTGGCTGGTGCTCAGACCCCAAGGCCAAGAGGGAGAGATCAACAGGGCCAGGGTGCAGACGGTCTTACAAGTCAGCCCCAGGAGCTTGGATTCATCTCCTAAGTGATGGGGGAGCCGTGGAAGTGTTGCGGGCAGGGGAGAGGAGGATGGAGGCAAGACCGTGCTGAGGAGGAGTCGGCACACAGGACTCGGGTCCGGCTGCTGGCTGGGCACTGGGGGGGTGGAGACAGGAAAGATGGAGGGAAGCCGGTCTGGGGACGATGCTCAGTGAACATGAGGCATGAATCTCATCTCTCCCATGTCCCATCCAGGCTGAAAGTCACCTCAGCCAGCATCCACCAGCTGCAGGTGCAACCCCTAGATGATGGCCGGGAGCTGATGATCAATGTTCCCCTGGACATGGTAGCTGTATTCAACACGTGAGTGTCCCCTCAGTCAGGCACAGCTGGCCTGACAGTTTCCTCCACTCTTTCTCCCCACCCCCATCCTCCATGCAGGTGTCTGGAAAAGAGAGTTCCAAGCAGAGGAAACAAGTGCAAAGGCCCTCAGGCAAGTGTGCACTTGCCTTGTTCACAGAACGGAATGAGAGCGGGGAAAGGGGGCAGCGAGGTGGTGCCCCAGTAGGCAGCTGGGGCCAGATCATACAGGGCCTTGTGGGTCAAGGTGAGGACTTGGTTCTACCAAGAGAGATGGGAGCCGTGCAGGGCTCTAAGCAGAGGAGGGACATGACATGATTTCACATTCTTCAAGAAGCCCTCTGGCTGCTGTGTATGGGGGCAAGAGTGGAGACAGGGAGGCTATCCAGAAGCTACTGCAATAATTCAGGAGGAGATAATAATAGCATGGACTGGGGTTTAGGAACAGGAAGGTGGTGAGAAGTAGACAGATTCCAAATATGTCTTGGAGGACACAACAGGATTTCCTGACAGATTGAATGGGAGCTCGGGGCGGGGCAGGGGGAGAGGGGAGATTGAGGGGTCAAGGCAGCATGGAGTGGCCAGCAAACAAAACAGGGAAGATCATGAGAGGAGAGGATTCGGGGAAGGATCCATAGTTCAGTTTGTACATGTTAAACCTGAGATGCCTGTAAGACATCTGAGAAGTGAGTATAAGTTTGGAAGCTACTGACATATGCAGAGGATTTAAACCAGGAGAGGAATCCAGAAACTGAGCCTGGGACACAATGAAGTCAACAGTTGAGGAGATGAGGAGAACCCAGCAAGGAGCCTGAGAAGGGAGGAGTGAGAGCCAGGAGACAGAGGTGGAAAGCAGGCTTGGCTTGATCCAGCCTGAAGCTGGGATGGAGCTCACAGCATGGGGCTCCTCCACTCCCAGGCCCCTGGTCAAGACCACTGTGGAGCTGCACATGGAGACGGAGGCCCAAGCCATCATCCACGTGGAGACTAGCGAGAGAGACCACTCCCGCCTGGTCCTCAGCGACTGCTCCAACACCCACGGGAGGCTGCGCATCAGCCTGCTACATAAGTGAGTGTGACCTCCTCCCACTGGGCTCCTGGCATGCCTGGGAGGGAAGCCAGGTGGTGTCCTGGCCCCATGTTACAGATGGAGAACATTGAAGCCCACAGAAAGAAAAGGACTTATCTCTCCTGACTCCTGATCTGGAGCTCCCTCCAGGAAATCTGTGATGTCAAAGAGAGCTCAAGATATCAAGGGTGAAGCGATAGTGATGGGATTTCAGGCATCATGCCAGAAATTGAGGCAAACTTTTGAAGGTGGAGAGGAGGCTCTTTCCTAGGCCCCTCAAACCACACAGGTAGACTAGGGTGGAGCCATGGGTATAAACTTTGGAGTCAGGCAAACGTGTCTCCTTCATTTACTGTCCAGGTGACGCTGGGCAAGTCACCTCCCCATGCCTCACCTTCCAGGCCACAGTGAGAGGATTAACAGGGCAGCAGCGCTAAGCAGTCAGCTGAGGGCAGGGCACGCAAAAGATGCTCAAAGACATGGTGCTTCCCTCCATCTCTCCTTAGCAGGAGAACGGGGGGGATGCCAACTGCCCTCATCCCAGTGTCCAGCACAAATTCCTAAAGACAAGCCCCAGGCCCTGTCCCTGAGAACTGTCTGCCACTGTCTACACCAGGCTCAGGGTCTACACCCAGCCTTGTTTCTAATAGGCCCTGTGCCTTGGGCAAGTTCCTTCCTCCCCTGGACTCAGTCTCCCCTTCTGTAAAACAGGGGAGGGGTGATCATCTCTGACCCTGCCTCATCTCTCTCCTCTTCTCCTCTTGGGAAGGCTCTCCTTCCTGCTCAACTCTTTAGCTGACAAGGTCATAAGCCTCCTGGTGCCAGCCCTGCCCAAACTGGTGAAAAGCGAGGTAAGTGGAATCAGGGTCTCTCTGGCCTGTGAAGCTTGCTCCCCCTGTGGTTGGGGATGGAACTGCACGCTGGTGCTAAGGGACCTGTGTTTCCTTGAGCGGGAAGCTTCTGAGCTTGGGTCACTCTTTCAGCAGTGGATCCTTGAGATCAAGGTAATGAAAATCCCAAAAGTCAGCCAGGGGACCTTGAACAGTGATGTGTTGATAAATTGCTCACAATTGACTCAGAAGGGGTTGCTTGAAGGAAGGGAGCTCTGATTTGTAACATTTACTGATTTCCTTGATGTAAACACCCCTTCCATTGCCAATTTCAGGCTACTAGTGTGATGTCACTGAGCAGTCAGGAAGAGATGCCTGGTAGCCCACTCTTGGAGGGCATTTCCACCATGCAGATACAATAGATGTAAATAAGCTAAGAACAATAGATAACAGCAAAATGAAACAAAATAATTAGGAAGTAATGAGTTTTGAGTTTTCATTGACTTTGATCTTAGCATAACTTATTTAATTGTGAGTTTATACAACTTAATTTTTTTTTTTTTTTTTTTTTTTTTTTCCTTGCGTTATGCGGGCCTCTCACTGTTGTGGCCTCTCCCATTTGCGGAGCACAGGCTCCGGACGCGCAGGCTCAGCGGCCATGGCTCACGGGCCCAGCCGCTCCGCGGCATGTGGGGTCCTCCCGAAACGGGGCACGAACCCGCGTCTCCTGCATCGGCAGGCGGACTCTCAAGCACTGCGCCACCAGGGAAGCCCCAACTTAATTTTTAATAATGTCAGGTTTAGCACCAAGCTCAGATATTCCTGAAAATTTAAGAGTTGGCCCTCGTAAATTGGTCCAAGCTGGCTCGAGCGCACCAGGGCCTCACACCATCCTGGTTGTGTCGTCAGGGGTTTGTCACCCACCAGGTCTTGTTGCACTTATTTTTCTTATGTTTCTTATTCATAAACACGAATCCATCTCATTTTATATGTCCCTTCAATGTCACAGGTAAACTAAAACTCTGTAAGTTGGATTCATCCACCGTGACCATTGATTTTCACTGTAAATTCCAAGATGTGTTCACAACAGTGATTCTCCTGGGGTTAAAAACACCTTGTCAGGGACTTCCCTGGCAGCCCAGTGGTTAAGACTCCACGCTTCAACTGCAGGGAGCACAGGTTCGATCCCTGGTCATGGGACTAAGATCCTGCATGCCGCACTGCACTGCGTGGCCAAAATGAAATAAATAAATAATAAAAACACCTCGTCAGATAATTAATATATTTTTAATAAAAAAACTTTTTTGAATGGGAAACACACTATTATAACCAAAACTTTTGGGAAAAAAATACCCATAATTCTTCAACCTTAACTTGGCGGTTAGTTTTTCTTTTGCATGTTGTTTTCCAAATCTCCATCCACATGCACTCAGATTTTTATGTGGCTGAACTCGACATCAATATTATTTGATATCCTCTACGGTATGTCTATTTCCTATGCCGTTGTATGATATTCATAACTATTTTAATAGCTGCACCGTATTTAATACTTCTTAAAACCATTCCAGAGAGCCTTCTGAAAGGACTTTGAAAGTGAATAATTCTGTAAAACTTAGCTTTACTTATGTGAGGTACTTTTTCTCTTAAGAAATTTTTTTTTCTATTTAAAGGTGGCAGTTTCTTAAAGTAGAGCCCAGCTGGAAATTTTTTCCCAGCCTCCAGCAAAATCATATTTTAACTGGCATTATATTTTAATAGCTACAAATGTGTCTTCCACTAGAAAAGATGGTAAGAACTTGGGATTATAAAATGTTCTTTGCATGATATCTGTTTTTAAGGGTGAAAAGCCAAATAAAGTGAACAATTTGAGAAAACTGGCATTCCATTAATCATCATGGTTTCCCACCATGAATCACTGGATTTGAAACTGCAGTCCTATGAATATTTTACTTGGCATGAAGGGAAAAAGGCGCAGCATGTTTAAATCTGGCAGGAGCCCATCTAGAAAATGCTAATGCCCCTTTCAGTGTAAATATGTGGGTCCCAATCCCAACTGCACATCAGAACCTCTTGGGAAGGCTTTTTAAAATACTGATATCAGGGCTCGACCTGAGAGATTCAGATTTAATTGGCCTGGTGGGGCCCTGGTATCCCAGAGGATTCTAGCTGCCCCAGAGGAGGATTCTAATATGTAGCCCGGGTTGAGACCCAGGGGTGGAACTGAAGGAAGGGGAATTGTGGGAGAAGACGCAGAGGGTGCCAGAGACACCCTTCCCATGAGGAGCAGGCAGTGAATGCTGGGAGTCTCTGAGCTCAACTCCTCCATCCTTCCTGGGTTCAGGGTTGGCAAAGCAGCTGGAGCAGGGAACAGGTTTTTCATAGGAAAAATTAACATTCGTCAAAGTGCATTGTCATTTCTCGAGAGTCGCAATGGGTGGTCAACCAGAAGGTTCTTCACTGGGGAAATTGTACCTAAGACAAAATGACAAAATCTCAGAGCACTGCCCTGGAAAACAGGCTGCCTAGAGCAGAGAACAAGGCCTTTGGGCCCCATGGTCAAGTAAGTCAATTGTTTAACTTCCTCCCCAAGAAGAACAGCTCAGGCCAGAGGTTGTCACTATGGACATTTGGGCCCCCTAATTCTTTGTTGTGGCGGCCGTCCTGTGCATTGAGGGATGTTTAGTAGCATCCCTGTCCTCCACCTACTAGATGCCAGTAACACTCCCCCTAAACTGTGACAACTGAAAATGCCTTCAGAAATTTCCAAATGTCTCTTGGGAGACAAAATCCTCCCCTGCTGAGAACTGCTGCAATTAAGAGTTCGGGGGGCAAAGAGATGTGTTGGAGCTAGAAACCCACAGAGATTGTTCGCAAGTCTGGTTGGGTCTGTCTTGCTGGCCTGTATTCTAACCTGACACGTGGAAGGAAGTCAGTACCTAGTGTTGACTCAAGAAGTGAATGAAGGAACGCATTCTCCATTTCCCTCCTATGGAAACGTGGGCTCTTGTGAACACGATGAGTCTGAGGGGAGGACAGCTGACAGGCCAGGCAACACCCTGGACACAGGGCAAGGGACAAACCATTGCAAAAGATGCCAAGTGACACCAGAGGCTGTGACGGGCTCTGAGCAGCGGTGATGGCTGGAGACGTAGATGCACCACTGAGTCCTCAAGCCCATGGGTGAAAATCTGGCTGGCCGTGGGCACAGGGATGGGACTCAGCTCAGGAGAGCTGGGCATGGGTCACTGTGGGGCTATGTGCTGGCCCCTGGCTGATGGAGGCCCTGCATTTGTGCTGTTGCAGCTGTGCCCTGTGATCAAGGCAGCCTTTGAGGACATGCGTGAGGACCTCCTGAACCTGACGAAGGGTAGGTGCGCTGCTCTCTCATACCTTTCTCCTTGACTGCTGAGCTGGCCTCCAGCCCCTGGCCCTGCCCAAGGCAGGCCTCCCCCCATCAGGCTTGAGCAGCAACTTGGCCCAGGAGCAAGTGAGACAAGAATCATCTGATCCCTGCCCAGGATGAGCAGACAGGAAATCACCACAACTGTGACTTCATGAGCACACAGTACGTGCAAGGTTCTATGTGAGCCAGTGGGTGCCCCAGATAAACGCAAGTTCAAATCCCAGTTCTGCCACTGATTTGCTCCATGGTTTTGAAAAAGCCAACTCCACCTCCTTATTCTGTTTCCTCATCTATAAAATGGGGTTTATGCAGCCCTACCTCACAGAATTGTTAGTGAGGATTAAAAGTTTATGGGAAAGTTCCAGATACATAGCAGGTTCTCTGCCTGGCACAGAGAGGTGCTTACAGATGTGTGCTGGATGGGTGGATAGATGGATGGACGGATGGATGGATGGATGGATAGATGATCAGAGACTACTATGGGCTACTAGGGAAGAAATAAATTGTATCCTCAGATCACTCACAGTGAAATTCTGAGTTCTTGGACCCCTCAGAGAGGGGATTGGTGGGAAGAAGAAAATTCTACCATCTACTCTTTTGGGATCTGAAGAGGTTCATTCAAAGCCACCAGAGAGGAGTGGAAAGAAGAGAATGGAATCAATAGGCATTCAGCACCCATAGAGCACCTGCTTTGGGCCAAGCCCTTGAGCTGAGTATTTTATATACACTGTCTTACTGACTCTTCAGACAACTCCATGAAGTGGAGTGGATCATTACCCCACTTCACAGATAAGGAAACAGGCTCAGAAATGAAATCATTTGTCCAAGTCCACAGAGGAAATTAGTGATAGGCGAAGGCTTTAACCCAATTCTTCAGGTTCCAAGTCTAGTTTAATTCAGATCTGAGCCAACTTTACTAGGTACCGGTCCTGTACAACCTATGAGGCAGGTATACTACTCTATCCCCATTTTAAGATGAGGAAACTGAGGTTCAGAGGCAGTAAGACGCTAGCCAAGGTTGCTGGGGCTCCAACCCAAGTCTGTCCGGCTTCCCTGCTCCCCAGGGGCAGGGGAGAAGGCCTCCCCCAGGAGTAGGCAGACCAACGACCAGCTCCCCGCCCGCCTCTGCGCCCTTCCCTTGTCCTCTCCATTTTCCGCCCAACAGCCCGGGCACATGAGACGCCACCGCCATCTGGCGGCCAAGTGGGGAATCCCAAGGCAAACGCACGCAATCCCTAGCACAGACCCAGACCCTGGTGGGGGCGGGGGGGGTGGGGTGGGGGTGGGGGTGGGGGGCGGGCGGCGTGCAGCTCAGTCTGGTGGGGGAGGCAGACAGGTATAAGCAGTAGGTCAGTTTTGCTCCAAACCAGAACGTTGGCATAGGACCGACTGGGTTCAGATCCTTTCACAGTATGCCCCTGAGCAAGTCACTTCACTTTTGTGAGCCTTTGTTTCCCCATCTGTAAAATGAGGGTAATCGTAGGACCTACCTCCTAAGGTTATTGTGAGGATTCCATGAGCTAACACATGTAAAGGTTTAACACATTACCTGGTGCTTGATATATGCTCAATAAATGTCAGTCAGTATAATAATCTTTTTTTTTTTTAATTTTTTTAGATGTTGGGGGTAGGAGTTTATTAATTAATTAATTTATTTTTGCTATGTTGGGTCTTCGTTTCTGTGCACGGGCTTTCTCTAGTTGTGGCAAGCGGGGGCCACTCTTCATCGTAGTGCGCGGGCCTCTCACTATCGCGGCCTCTCTTGTTGCGGAGCACAGGCTCCAGATGCGCAGGCTCAGTAGTTGTGGCTCACGGGCCTAGTTGCTCCGTGGCATGTGGGATCCTCCCAGATCAGGGCTCGAACCCGTGTCCCCTGCATTAGCAGGCAGATTCTCAACCACTGCGTCACCAGGGAAGCCCCATCATCATTTTTATCATGGTCCTTATCAACATCATCATTACGCCTGCCCCTCCCCTTACTCCACCTCATGCAATAATGCTGTTCCAGCCAAAAGCAGCCCCAAACCATCCCATCCAATACTGTCCTCCACCCTCACAGAACTTTCTTCTTCTCCCTGAGCAGTGCCTGTTTCTCTCAACTCTGACCATCTGGAGTTTGACTTTATGTCTCCTGCCATCGACCATAATGTTGTTCATCTCATCCTGGGGGTGAGTGTCATGGGACCTCAAGGAGAAAGTGGGGACATCACTGCCCTTCTCTGACCCCCAAGGGTCAGACACCATGGGTCTGTTTCAGGGGAGAAAAACGCCAGTCACAGTTAGGACACACAGGCTGATTTAGAAGAATCTCAACAGGCTGAACGTGTTCCATGTAAACCATTCTGATGGAGAGAAATCAGCAGCTGGAAGCCACACACAGAACATCGACCCCAGTGACCTGATTTCCTCCAACCCTGATTTTTCCAGTCAGGGTACAGAGTGTGTGGGGCTCTTAGCCTTTCTCGCAGGCAAGCCCCTTCTATTCCTCAAATATCTGGTGACCTTGAACAAGAGCCCAGGATGGAGACACATTATTGAGGATCACACAGACCTAAGTTTCTCTCCCAGCTCCACAGCTCCCTGGTGTGTGACTTTGGGCAAGTTTCTTCACCCCTCTAAGCCTCAATTTCCGGATCTGTAAAAAGTAATAACAATGGTCACCAAGGAGACGAAGAAATGAGGCTGCATTGGGCCTGGCAAGAAACCGGTAACCATTGGTTCTCTATAAAATGTGGAGCCGCCCACCCACACTGGGGCTGGATGCCCTCAGGAACCAGTTCAAGCAAAGGCAGCGTGAATCTCAGACCAGTTTTCATGGATCCTTGGAAAACAGCAGCATCAAACATTTCCATCCCTTCTGTTGCAGTCTTGAATTTTCCCTTCAGATATCTAAAGGGTTTGTGAGGTATCTGAGAAGTTGAAACCTAAATGCCACATAAGACATCTAGATTTTTTAAAAATCAGAGATTACCTGAGGGGTGCAAGTGCAGTAGATGTTGCTAGACACCTGAGATAAGTCATCATCTACAGCAAAGCACTGAATGCCAGGCTGAGTTTCCTGGCAGCAAATGCAAAAAGGGAAACAAGCTGAATGGTGTCATTTCCTTCTAGGTTATTACTGGATACGCCATGGAGTTAAAGTTCCCAGACAACTTTCTGCTCTGTGTGTCCTTAGGCCAAGTTGGTGGACTCGGAAGGAAAGGTGACTAAGCTGTTCAATGACAGTGTGGATTACCTGAATCTGCCCTCCCTATACCACAGCCCTTTCAGCCTCACCATGAGGAAGGATGTGGTGAATGCTGCAGTAGCTGCCTTGCTCCCTCCAGAAGAACTCATGGTCCTGTTGGACTATGTGGTAAGCCTCAGCATAGGACAGAGCGTGAAGCCACCTCTGCCGCATTATGGGGATTTCCTGAATCAACAGGGACACAAGGACTCCTAAGCAGGCACCACCTGTCAGGTTCAGCTTACATACCTCCAGTGATGGAGAGCTCACTCCCTTCTCGAGCAGACCCTGCCTCTGATATATAACTCCAAAGCTGAAAACCTCCCTGTAACATCCAGCACCAGTCCTAGTTCTGCCCTCCCGGAACCTGAAATGCCTGCTTCCTCTACCAAATAACAGGCCTGTCCAAAGGGCATTTTAGTTTCTGACTGGCCCTGGGATGGCGATTGCACCACCGCCATCCACGGCAGACATCACTAATCTCTCGGGGCTCTCCTTCCTGTTGACCCTGGATGCTGACACAGCCGCAGAATCCTGATCAACCCAGCACAGCATAAAACCACCCCTAGTCAACTGGAGTGTGCCACCTCACCGGGGTGACCGATGGGGAAACCAAGGCCCAGAAGGGGATAGGGTTGGCCCAAAGTTAGGGGAGTGGGACAGGTCAGCTGACAGACAACAGATCACCAAGATCTCGGGGATTAGAAGTCAGGGTGAGGGGCTGGGACGACAAGAAAAGGGTAGTGGTCACCAGCAACCACATTCATGACTATAGTTAAGAATTCGGTCACTTCTCTATGTCCTCTGAGAACAGGGAGCCAGCCGTCCACAGACCCACGAGCACCACCAACCCACAATAAAAGTCCAGGCCGGCGGGGACTTCATTCTCCACAGCCACTGACATAGGGGATGTTTCCCACCAGGGACAGACATGTGCACTGGATCACCAGGCCCTCCCAGCTTTTCTGGGGTTTGGGGGATCCCAGCAGTGGGGCTGCTGGAGGTGTGTCTCCCCTCTCCCCGCCAGCGGACCTGCTCTGGCTTCCTCTCTTCCTTAGCTTCCTGAGACGGCCCGCAGGCTGAAGTCAAGCATCAAGGTGATCAGTGAAAAGGTTGGTCCATTTGCCATCTGCAGCCTGAAGGGTGTTTGCTGTGGTCTGTCTACTGGCCTCTGGGGAGTAAAGTACGTGTGGAACTGCTCTGTCCTCCGAGCACTGGTGACTGTAATGGACTGGTCCCAGGCCTCACGGATATTTCAATCTAACAGGACAGTCTGACCTGAATCAAATAATTACACAGATAATAATTCAGTTACAAGTGTGGTGACAAAGGAAAGATTCTAGGGGTTATGAGAGCACTACTGGGGCACCTGATAGAGTCTGGGAGATTAGGAAGGGCTTCCCTGAAGGGAAAAGTATTCCAGATATAGGGAGAAGCAAAACCAAAGGCTGTGAGATGGGGAGAGCAACAGTCTATTCCAAGATCTGAGGAAGCAGGGAGTCCAGGAAGGTTGACAGTGGTCAGACCACATGGGGCTGCATGGGGCCAGCAGGCCATGGTGAGGCACTTGGGAGGTCACATGTGGGTCTGATGTCCTTTCAGGCAGCAAATCAGCTGAGGCCCACACAAATCGTGAAGATCCTGACTCAGGAGACCCCAGAGCTCCTTGTGGACCAGGGCAATGCCAAGGTGGCCCAACTGGTCATGCTGGAAGTATTTGCCACCAATGAAGCCTACCGCCCCTTCTTCACCCTGGGCATTGTGAGTTCAGTTGTCTGAGACGTTGGCAGCAACCTGGGGGACCCCCCTGTCCACTGTTCCTGTTCACCCCTCTTGCTTTGCTAAAACCTTTCCACCACTCTTTTTATCTCACAGGGATAGGGGAAGGGAATTCTGAACCAAGAATCAGGAGATTTGGGGGCCCAGCTCTTTATTAGTCAGGATCTTTAGGCAGAAATTTAATTCACATGCACAAAATGAATTGTATTAGCTCATATAACTGAAAAGTCTAGGTCAAGATAGCTTCAGGAATAGCTGGATCCAGGTGTTCAAGCAATGTCATCTTCATTCTTCTCTCTTCCCTTGTTTTTCTTTGTGCTACCTTCATCCTCAGGCAGGTTATCCCTTCATGGAAGTGCCCCAAAGCTACATCAGGCTTATAACCTATCCGCTTGGCAACCCCAATGGAAAAGCTTCTCTCTCCCAGTAGTTCCAGCAGAACTTCCAAACCTGACTCTCATTGGCTGAGTTAGGGTCAAGTGCCCACTCATGAACCAACCAGTGTGGCCAGAAAAATGAAATATGTAAATTTTCTGAGCTGGGACACACACACACAAACACACAGGAGTGGGGAATTGGGTTTGCCTCTATCCAAACCACAGGCCTGAGAGGGAAAGGGGTAATTCCTCTTCTGAAATATGAACAGAACTAAATCAGCTCCAAGTAAGTTCTTAACTGATTTTTGCAGTAACCCCAGCAAGTCAGATCTCAGAGCTTCTATATAGGGGGACCCTGTGCGTAAAGGTATGGGGCTGGGAGTCATCAAAGGGCAAGCCCAGTAGGAAGGTATCTTAGATGGGGCCCTTAGAAACAGGCCCGAGACAAAGACTCTTATAAAAGTGATGTATTGGGGGAGAGCTCCCAGGAGAAGGACTGAGCAAGGATGTGGTCTCAGCTGGAGGCTCGCTTCTGCTTCACCCCACAGAGAGCTCGGGAGCATGGTGGCACCACAGAGTCGAGCCCAGGCTGAAACAAGAAGGTTGGCCTTTTGTTCCCCCTTGTCTTTCAGTTGTTGGCCATAACTGCCCCCAGAGTAGGCACAACATAACCTCCCAGCAAGGCCGCTCCGCTCCAGCAAGGGCAGTTCCCCAGACAAGGGGAAGGCTGGGCACTGTTAGCAGCTGCATTCAGCTGAAGAATGGATGCCCCACCCAATAAATGGATCTGAGTGGGCCACCAGCTGCATGCTACAGAGGACAGGGAGAAGAAAGAGACGAGGCAAGGTTCATGGTTGGGCCCTGGATAAGTGAGGCTGAGGAATCTGGACATCACCTGGTTGTTGGAGGCTAACGTTACACTCTCCTTACAGGAGGGTCACTGCATGTCCTGTGCAGGCTGTCCACACGCCACACGTCAGCGGGCACCATTCACACAACTACAGGATGCACAGTGCCCTGGCTTCCTGCGTGGGAGGATACTCTGAGCCCCCAACCAGCAGGGGAAGTGGACTGCCCCTGGCCAGCCTCACTCCCTGGGGACTTCCCCTCCATGGCCAATGGCAGGCACTTTTCAAAAGGTCACCAAGCCCAGGCCTGCAGGAGAAGTTTGTTCTCTGGGTGCAGCTGCCCTGGAGCTGGAGCCTGGCACTTGGGCTCACCCCAGCCCATGGGTCAAGATGATGGATATCTTCGGCACCTGCGTTTGAGGCCTGGCTTAGTTTCTGACCTTTCCAATAATAATAACCGGTTAAGATTTACCATCCTGTCTGCCCCTCAGTTTCCTCACCTCTACAATGGGGTAAGAATAGGACTCACTTCACAAGAGTCGTGAGGATCAAAGGAGATGATCAGATAAAGCTCTTAAAACACCACCTGACACACAGTGAGGGCTCTGTGTGTATTGGCTACTGTCATCATTGTCATGATCAGTAATCCTCTGTGCAGTCTCTTCAATGGGGAGTGGGTACAGGTACCAGCCCAACAGAGAAGGAATTTGAGGCCCACAGAGGTCAGACCCTTTCCCAAGGTCACAGCCAACAGCTGAGATTCAGACGGTGTCAGCTTGGCCCCAGAGCCTCCTTGCAGAACCCCACACTCTACACCTGACACATCCTCTAAATAAATGGGGCCTGGGTTTCTCTTGTTGCAGGAAGCCACCTCAGAAGCTCAGTTTTACACCAGAGGTGACCTACTTATGCTCAACTTTAACAAAATCAGGTAAACATGAAAATCACTGTTGAAGATTCTGGTGATGAAAATGAGTCCTGTCTGGTGACCACTGGTTTCTTTAAACACCCAGTGTTTTGAGCCTCTGGGGTGACAGTGTGAGTGAAGGCTGCTTCAGGACAGGCAGAAAGGCTGTCTTGCTGGGACTGTCCCACTGTCAAGGACTGAGTGTGAGAGAAAGCAGAGAGGGACATGGCCTTGCAGCAGTCATGGGGCAGGCTGACCCTGGCCACGCGGGAAGGGGCCGCCCAGCACCATCCCCTCGGCCTGGGGCAGCCCACTTCGGACACCAAGAAAGTGGCAGTGACAGTCATGCCCAGATGCTGAGCCCCCATGGAGCCCAGCACAGCAGCACACGGCTCTCGCGGCCTCCCACAACCCTGCCTGTCCTCCCCTCATCCCACCACCCTCCTGCTGCCCCAAAGGGAGTTCAGGGATTGCAAACTGGAGCCTCCTGGGACAAATCAAGCCCATGGATGTGTTTTCATCAGCCCACATAGGGTTAGGTTTTTTAATATAAATCAGTCGCCAACATATACAAATCAGAATATCTGGCCGCCATGGCCTGCATTCCTACATGGCAACAAACAGTGGAGCTAGGAATTAGGTACCCCCTTTAGAAGGAGAAAGAGCTCCTCAGTCCACCATGGTCCTCACTCCTGGGGGTGATCTTTCTGCCTGCTCTTTGGGCAACTATTTGTTTGCTATCTCCCCCCGCTTCCCCCATGCATTACAATGTAAGCTCCATGAAGCAAGGATTTTATTTGGGTCACTGCTGTACATCCAGAGCCTGCACCATGTCTGGTACATAACAGGTGCTCAATAAGTAGTTGGTGAATGAATGAATGGGACTCCGAGGGACCAGCCTCATGGGCATCTTCTGTTGCAGCTCTGATCAGATTCACCTGATGAACTCAGCCATTGGCCTGTTCAATGTGAGTATGAACAGATTTTCCCTGGGTATGCAGGGGATTGCCGAGGATGGTCCATCTCAGACGCAGACATTGCCCAGGATTTGCTTTGAACAAGGTCCCCACGGGCCCCAAGGTCCCCACGGGCTCACCCCATGGTGAGCTGGCCAGCCTCCCCGATCTCAGCCTCAAAGTCCAACCTCCTGGTTCAGGTGTTTACTGAGCACCTACTGTATGCCAGACACAGCTGAGAATACACACATTCACAAACACACAGATACACACAGACTTCCCTTCTGTAAAGTTCTGACCCTAAATCAGAAAACATATCTCCTTTATTCACATCTCATTTTGCTCATATAGACTCATCTCAGTGGTAACCCTGGGCAGCCCCTTCCCCCCAGTCCTCAGTTTCCCTAAGTCAGACTGAATCAGAGATCTCAAATTGGCTGAATCCTGTCTTCTGCTGTGGCGGGGTATTTGTTTCTATGTTTTGGAGAGGGGCAAATTTTTCCACCCTTTTGTTCTGTCTTTTAATCGTTTTTGACAATTTTTTCTTTTTTTTTGCCGTACGCGGGCCTCTCACTGCTGTGGCCTCTCCCGTTGCGGAGCACAGGCTCCGGATGCGCAGGCTCAGCGGCCATGGCTCACGGGTCCAGCCGCTCTGCAGCACGTGGGATCTTCCCGGACCGGGGCGCGAACCCGTGTCCCCTGCACTGGCAGGTGGACTCCCAGCCACTGCGCCACCAGGGAAGCCCGACAAATATTTTTTAATGGGGAGGTTTCCACATGAAAATCAGGACTTCTGGCTTCGCCTTGAGAAGTCAAAAACTCGGGAAACAGGGTGAAATTCCCTTGGAGAATTCTGCTGAAACAGAGCGGTGGAGCCCTTGAGATTAGGGGCGAGGGATGCATCCCACAAACATACCCCAGTCCCCTACCTGCTGGATCTAGGGCCACCTGGTTTGTGCCCCACCCCTCCCCCCACAGCCTGTCTTGTCCGTGGAGCCCTTGCAGTTCTGACCAGTCAGGAACCTGAGATTCAGCATCTCCACCAGCTGCCCTCGCCACAGGGCGGGACTGTGCCCATCCTAGCAATGGCTGGGAGGACTTCAGATTCTCAGCCAGGGTGATGGGGCCCCTTCTCTTTCACAGCCTGAACTTCTGAAAGACATCACCACCAAGATCCTTGCCTCCGTCCTGCTGCCAAACGAGAACGGTGCGTCCCTTTGCTGTCCATCCCCCTGGTCCCCAGGGCATTGAGGGCAGGTGCTTTACTTCTCCTGCCTGTGTCTCCATTTGGGGCCCCTTTCATTTATTTTCCACGTATCCTCAGAGCCTAGTTCTAATTCTGCCTCCTCCAGGAAGCCTTCCAGGTCATCCACCTGGAAATGAGCTTTCCCATCTCCAGCATCCCAGCCCAATTCCTTCACTCATGCCAGAGCCTAGGCATGCATGGCAATGCCCCAGGCTCACAGGGCTGACAGCAGGAGAGAGACAGAGGTGGAAACAGACAACTAGAGCACACCCAATGTGCCTCCGATAGACCCGGGCTCAAGTGCTGGTTCCCCTTCTTGCTGGCTGCCTGGCCTTGGACAAGCTGCCTTATCATCCTGAGCCTCAGTTTCTCCCTCTGTAAAATGGGAAAATAAGAGCACCTTCCTCAGAGGCATAAAGGAGAAGATGTTTGTATGGGGGCAGAGAGGGGGCGCCTGACACAGTCAGTGCTCAACAGTTCTTAGCCTTTGCTGTTGTTGGCATTGTTATTTGTGTCAGTAGTGGAGGAAGCCAAGAGAAAAGGTTGGAATTATTCCCGTTGAGCCCCAGGTCTTGGGGATGGGGAGAATTGGCAACCTCTGACTTCTGTCATGTCTTTGTTTTATTAGAGTAAGAAATCTCAAAGTATAGGCACGTGTTGTGGGTGATGGGAGGCCCTGATGTTTCTTGAGCAGGAGCAGGAGAGGATGTGAGGGTACCTTTAGGAGCAGCCAGAAGCTGGGGCTGGAGGCAAAGAATGGGGAGATGAGGCTGGGTGGACGCTAGGGCTGGAGAACAGGGAGAGGCAAAAGGGGCAGTCCGAGTCGGGAGTGCCAGGTCGAGGAAATGTGAGCCTGCCCACAGCTGCCCAATCCCACCCCAGGCCCACCATTCTCTGACCACACTTGTGATTTCAGGCAAATTAAGATCCGGGATCTCAGTGTCAATGGTGAAGGCCTTGGGATTTGAGGCGGCTTCATGGTCTCTGACAGAGGTGAGTGGGGTTAAACATACATTCGCAGGGAGAGCCCAGGGGTGAGAGGTGGGTGCTGCTCTCCAATCCTGGCCCCTCTGCTCACTTATGGGGGACCTTGGGCAAGCCCCTTCTCTCTCAGGGCCTCATGTCCTCATCTGTAAGCGGTAGAGGATGGCTGTCCTAGCCTGGAGTCATAAACCTCCAGCCTTTTCTATCTTACCTGTCATCCCACCTGGCAGAGGGAAGGGTAGGAGGCTTTGTTAACTGGCTTCAAAGGCAAGTTGACATTTGACTCATTTTCAGCTGCCCACCCTCAAAAAACTGTCTCCATGCTTCAGCTGGCTTTGATGGAGAATTATGACAGCATACTGTGCATGATACCTAGGCTGGGTCTAGACTCAGGGACCAGAGGACCAGTTCAAATGCTAACTCTGCCTCTCTCTCTAGCCAGGGGCCCTCAGGCAGATCCTTTGGCCTCTCTGAGCCCAGGTTCCTCACGCATAAAACAAGCAGATATCTAAATATACAGGTCATGCACTAATGAACTACACACAATGATTCAATTATAATATAAGCAGTTTATCTAAGACACATACTGCATTTAATTCATGTTGGATGGACACAACAGGTGTCCATCTAACTGGGTGGCTGGAGCTTAGTATATTTCATGTATCTCTTATTAGGGGGCATTTAGCAACCGTCCTCTTTTTTTTTTTTTTTAGTCAAGTTGCAAAGCATCATTTGCAGTTTGGGTTAGAAAGGTATCATTTCACCCTTTGGATCTGCTTTTTCCAAATTTCCTGTTTTGCTCTATTAATTTGTTTTGGACTAGCAGCACACTGATATCCTTTTTATAGCCTTACAATATAATATGTTTTAAAATCTAGTCAAAGGAATGAATAAATGGATAGATTGGAGGGAATTCCCTGGCGGTCTAGTGGTTAGGACTCTGTGCTTTCACTGCCAAGGGCCCGAGTTCAATCCCTGGTGGGGAACTAAGATCCCACAAGATGCACAGCATGGCCCCCAAAAAAAGGATAGATCCGAGATTAAACAAGTATGGCTTTAAAAAAGTTAATGGTAGAATCTAGGTGATGAGTATACAAGTGTTCACTATAAAATTCTTTCAACTTTGCTGTATATTTGAAAATTATCATAATAGAATGTTGGGGGAAATCTAATAGGTTACATTCCTTGTATCACACTTAGTTTCCTCAAAAAAGGTAGAGTGTTGTTAAAAATTTAGCTGCCTGGGACCCAATGGATACAGCCAGGAATTTGCATTTTCCAAAACTTCTGGGGAGTTTTGTTGATCTGCTGGGCCTGGGGACAACAGTCCTATATAATCCCAGACTTTGCACCCAGATACTTTACCTGTGCCCCAGGCCCCTGCATGATGTCACTGTTCACACACAGACACTCCTGCTCTGACCCTTCCAAGAATTTTTTATGAGTGAGTTCAGGGTTATGACCCCCAATGCCAGCAGTCACCTTGTGGAGGATAAACTAGCATAAACCACAAAAGGGCAGAATGTTAAAAAAAACTTTTTTGACTTTTCTCCTCCAATTCCAGGATGCCCTTGTGGTCACCCCGGCCTCCTCGTAGAACCTCAGACCATTTTCCTCTCTCCCAGTGAAGACTTGCACGGCGGCCTTCCATGCAAGCTGGGTCTCAGTAGGAGTGTGGAAGCCAGCTCTGTAGACTGGCCCTCTCTGCAATAAATAAACTTGTCTGTGACTCCTACAGTCTGGAGTGTGTCTTTGTCCCAACTCAGGGGTCATTCTGCCCCTGGCAGGCTTAGGGACTGGACATCCAAGCCACATCTAGGTCATGTTCAGGCACATCTGAGCTAATCTGAGCCATGTCTTGGTGATATCAAAACACACATGGACAAGGTCCAAGGTTTTGGCCACCTCCCTGAGCGACAGGAATAAAAAAGCCAGTTGCCCCCTCCTGCCTTCCACATCAGCTTCTAGACCACCTATGGTAGGACAACCTCTCTGGTGGGTACGCACGTTGTGTTGATCTTGGTGATGTGGTGGGTTGGGGGCTCGCTGAACAGTGTGACTCTGGAGGCAGGATTTGAGTTCTGGCCTGGACCCCTCAGTGGTTGCTTGACCCTAAAATATGGCTCCCCCTCTCTGGGCCTCAGCTTTCTTCTCTGTAAAATGGGGAGAATCTTAGTCCCCACCTTGGAGGCCTGTGGTGAAGATGAAATGAGAGAAAACAGTTCCCAGCATGTGGGAGGTGCTCAAACAATGTCATCTGTGGGTGATGTCATTGTCACTCTTGTTACCTGGACTCCGGGATGTTGGGCCTTGTCACTGAAGTCCCTTCCCACTTAGACAGCACGTGACTGTCATTGTCTCCCTGGCCCTCCTGATGCCAGCAGGTTCAGGACAGACAATAAGGCCCCTGTCCTACAGACTCTGGGTCCATCCCAGCACACAGAGCTCACATCCCATGAGGGGCCTTGCAGGAAGGGACAGGCGGGTGTTTCAGGAAAAGACGCTACACAGCTTCACAGTAAAAACATCCATAAGAACACCTCACAACGTGGAACGGCAGCCAGGAAAGAGTTTCTCCTATAGGACTCCTACAGGTTAGGCCGAGAGGGACAGGACAAGACCCTGCACGAGGTGCTTACACTGGGGTCAGTGAACACTCGCTGGGCAGTTGCTGATTGCTGGGCCCTGTGCTGCAGCTCCCCACATGCATCCTCGACCCCCAGCCACGCTTTGTGGTCCACATCCCACATCCCATTATTTTTCTAAATCATATTAAACCTGGGTTTTGAGCCCCCACTCACAAGGGAGCTGAGACAGTCCATCTCCATCTTCTCTGGCTCCCTAGGGTCATGCCACATTCTATTGTGAGAGTTTCCCAGGAGCCTGGAGGGTAGGGCAGGGCTTCCAGTCTTTGGTCCCATCTGGTGCCGATGAACGGATCTCCGTCCCAGCCCACAGGATCCTGTCAGAGGTGAGCAGCTTGGAGCCCTGGCCACACTGGGGCACTTCCCCAAAACAGTCATGGCCATGGATCCTGGGTTCTGACCGCCCACAACCTCTTGGGCTTCCTGGAGGGTGGTGAATATATAACCCTGCTTCCTCACCCCTTGGGAGCAGGGAACAACTCCATACTGGCTCCCACAGCACCCCAGAGGGACAAGCCCCAGGTGCCCATGGGGTCACTTGCTTGATACACACATTTATGGGCTGTCTCCCTCCCTGCCTCACTTTCCCCCTCTCCTACCAGTGTCTCCTGGCATCACCTCCCCTATCAGCTACCTGCACTCAAATCCTGGTCTCAAGTTCTGTTTCTAGGGAACCCAAACCAAGACAAGTATTTGCTCTGCAGGTACTAGGCCAAGGGTCTTACAGACCTTCACTCACCCAATGCCTCTCCTATGGTGCTCCCACTTGGCAAGTGAGGAAACTGAGGCTCTGACAGCTCAACATGACTACCAAGCAGCCCCTATCCATTACCCCGCACCACCTCCCTCTACTCTCTGCTCCCTCATCACTCCCCCAGAGTCTCCACCCCCCGTAAAGAAGAGAGGTGGTCTTCTGTGCCAGCCCCCTTCCGATTTGCACCCTGAAACACAGGAGCCATCTGTGCACCCCTGAGGCAGGAGCCGCAGATCCGGAACTCCAAGATTCCAGCACCTTCCTGGGCTGGGAGTGGGAAAAGTCCTCTGCTTCCCTCTGAGTCTTAGCAGCAGCAGCAAATGAAAAACACCAAGTGATATCTCAATAACTCTTCCTGCCTTGCAGGAATTATTGTCTTACAGATGAGAACTCAAGTAACACAGAGCTGGTGAAGTGGTGGGAACCCAAGCCTCACCCACTTGCCCCAGACTCCCACCTGAATCCACAGCAGGACAGTGACCCAGTTTTCTTTTTTTTTTTTTTAATTGGAGTACTTCTATTGTGAGAGTTTCCCAGGAGCCTGGAGGGTAGGGCAGGGCTTCCAGTCTTTGGTCCCATCTGGTGCCGATGAACGGATCTCCGTCCCAGCCCACAGGATCCTGTCAGAGGTGAGCAGCTTGGAGCCCTGGCCACACTGGGGCACTTCCCCAAAACAGTCATGGCCATGGATCCTGGGTTCTGACCGCCCACAACCTCTTGGGCTTCCTGGAGGGTGGTGAATATATAACCCTGCTTCCTCACCCCTTGGGAGCAGGGAACAACTCCATACTGGCTCCCACAGCACCCCAGAGGGACAAGCCCCAGGTGCCCATGGGGTCACTTGCTTGATACACACATTTATGGGCTGTCTCCCTCCCTGCCTCACTTTCCCCCTCTCCTACCAGTGTCTCCTGGCATCACCTCCCCTATCAGCTACCTGCACTCAAATCCTGGTCTCAAGTTCTGTTTCTAGGGAACCCAAACCAAGACAAGTATTTGCTCTGCAGGTACTAGGCCAAGGGTCTTACAGACCTTCACTCACCCAATGCCTCTCCTATGGTGCTCCCACTTGGCAAGTGAGGAAACTGAGGCTCTGACAGCTCAACATGACTACCAAGCAGCCCCTATCCATTACCCCGCACCACCTCCCTCTACTCTCTGCTCCCTCATCACTCCCCCAGAGTCTCCACCCCCCGTAAAGAAGAGAGGTGGTCTTCTGTGCCAGCCCCCTTCCGATTTGCACCCTGAAACACAGGAGCCATCTGTGCACCCCTGAGGCAGGAGCCGCAGATCCGGAACTCCAAGATTCCAGCACCTTCCTGGGCTGGGAGTGGGAAAAGTCCTCTGCTTCCCTCTGAGTCTTAGCAGCAGCAGCAAATGAAAAACACCAAGTGATATCTCAATAACTCTTCCTGCCTTGCAGGAATTATTGTCTTACAGATGAGAACTCAAGTAACACAGAGCTGGTGAAGTGGTGGGAACCCAAGCCTCACCCACTTGCCCCAGACTCCCACCTGAATCCACAGCAGGACAGTGACCCAGTTTTCTTTTTTTTTTTTTTAATTGGAGTACTGTTGCTTTACAATGTTGTGTTAGTTTCTACTGTACAGCAAAGTGAATCAGCTATACGTATACATATATCCCCTCTTTTTTGGATTTCCTTCCCATTTAGGTCACCACAGAGCATTGAGTAGAGTTCCCTGTGCTATACAGTAGGTTCTCATTAGTTATCTATTTTATACACAGCATCAATAGTGTATATATGTCAATCCCCATCTCCCAATTCATCCCACCCCCCCTTCCTGCTTGGTATCCATATGTTTGTTCTCTGTTCCTCAAAATAACAGTGACAACTAACAGCCTCTATTCCCTGAGAGCTACTCAGTTCCCAGTACAGTACTAGACACTTCCTGTGGGTTAACTTTCCCATTTTATAGATGAATAGACTGGGGCTCAGAGACAGACAATAATGATGTCTTGTACATCTCTGTGTCCTTCCCAGGGCTTCCCTTTCATGGAGGAGACCCCCAGGAAATCTCCCATCTCTCAGCAGAGATTAGTCCATGAGGTAAACATACAGAATTCACGGTGCTCCAGCCAAAATCTTCCCTCCTATCCTATTTAGAGAGGCCAGATCTTGGAAGGGAAGGGAGACCTCTGTGCTTCCACCAATATCCTGCACCAGCCCCTAGTGACTCAGATGAGGAAATCAACCCTAGAGCCTTTCTCTGCTCAGGCAGGAGGACAGCACTTGGCAGTAATGTTGAGACCCAATTGACAGAAATGAGGGGGACCTGCCAACTTTTAAAGCATCTTCCAACCAAAACGTCCATGATGTTATGATGCTGAGATCCTAGAATAAGTACAACCCATCTGAAATATGGCACCAAACCATACTAATATCAGCCATTGACTTATTTATTGCACTGGATCTTAGTTGCGGCTCATGGGCTCCTTAGTTGCGGCTTGCCAGCTCCTTAGTTGTGGCTTGCGAACTCTTAGTTGCGGCATGCATGTGGGATCTAGTCCCCTGACCAGGGATCGAACCCAGGCCCTCTGCACTGGGAGCCCGTAGCTAACGTTGCCCTAGCATTTCCTGCACAGCTGTTGTCTTCCAGAACCAGCCCTTTCATCATCAGCCCCTCTGTGCCATGTTCCAGCCCAAGAATGGAGTTTAACACCTGCCCTAACCACATCTCTGACTGTGAAAGGGAAAGGAATTATCCACAAGGAAAATCTAAAAGCCGCCTAGAGGTGAGTCCTGCCCACCACTGAGATGACTGCACTGGACAGCAGTTGATGAAGGAGTGGATGCTGACACAGCCAGCTATGTGCACTCACAATGGTGGCGTCAAGATTCTCACGGAAGAGGACGTCTGCAGAGCAGTTTGGTTGGGAGTGAGGACTTGAGGTCTTGGAGCTGCATTACATAGTAACACCAAATTTCCCTTTCACTGGATGGCCAGTTTCCTCTCTGGGCCCTGATTTCAAATCCCAGTTTTGCCACAGACATGCTGTGTGACCCTGAGTAAATCACTTAACCTCTCTGAGTCTCCATTTTCTCATCTATAAAATGGAAATTAAAATAAGTAACTTTTTTGGAACATCCACATGAATTGCCCCAATGAATATTCACAATACCAAAAGACATAGATGGATTATCATTCCCATTTTGCAGACATGAAAAGTGAGGCTCAG